AGGGCCACAGTACAAAGGAAATGATCCAATGTGAATAAGTCTGTATCAAATACATGGGGAAGGCATGGATTTTCTGATTCTTGTTTGGACGTTTTTATTTGTCATTTGTGATCTAAGCCCATTTTATATAGTATTTACATGGAGTTGTTGAATAACACCATTAGAGATAAGTATTAAATACATCTTTACTGTACCATCTGACCACTTTCTCTATTAGACTGGCACAAGATTCTTTCCCAGCTATCACAGGGGTATTTTATCATCAGTTTTCGGACAGGGCTTGGGGAATTGCAAAATGAATAAATGCTTACATTCAGAAAACCACCTGATCTGGAATTCATGACATTTTTAGAAAAAGAAAAGGAACAACAACAACAACAACAACAAAGATTTATTCAGCCACATGACATCAGTGTTAGTTTCAGACTGTCCCATGACATGACAATTTAAAAACAAAGATGAACCTAACAAACAAATATTGACCTGTTTCATACACTATATTCTAAGCCATTATTTGGTTTGTTTTAGTGTGATATGTCAGCCCAGTCATTTCTGTTCATAAAACAATAAAACTCTATTTTTACGACTTTGTAATCCCTTAATTCGGAGTAGAGTCGGGGCAACTGGATGGAGCTGACTGGCCAGATGCCCTTCCTGATGCTATGCAGAGTTCAAAGATATTTTTTCTTTGTTCCCTAGGCAGGAAACATCTGTCATTATCTGGGACTGAACTCTCAACCTTCCACTAGGCCACCTTGCTGCTCACTATTCATAAACTATTTTAATCATATTTGTACATTTGTTTCGCTACCCATTTCACATGGACAGCCAAAAACAATTGATACTAATGTCTTAATCTAATGCATAAACTAGGCTACTACAGCTAATTTAGCAAATTATGGTTAAATAAACCATAATTTAGAATATGCAAATCCAGTATATATTTCACTGGAAACAAAATAAAACTCTGTTGTTGGGTACATTCTTTTCCAAAAGAAATGCATTATGGTAAATTAGATTATTTTCCTCACCATAATTTAATTTTTTGTACTACATTGTAAGTTGTAGCGAATAAATTATGAGTTTTTATTTCCAGTAATTTGTCTTAATCAGTGTTTGTTCAGTAACTTTCAAATAGCTAGTTATTCTTTTATTGATGACTATATTTAGTAAGAGAATACAGTACTTAGTTGCTTTAAAATAATTAATTCATTATTTCTCCATGGCCACATATGCATATTATTTATTAATGTCAAACCTTTAAAGATAATTTATCCGAAAGTACAATCCAAGACTACATTTTAAAAAAGAATTTAAAACAATGAGTTGTATTATTATGGGTTCCGTGTATGTTTTGCTAGATGAGTAAAATTGTCTGATGAGGCCTTCTCAAAATCTGTATCAATCAAATTTCTAGGACTTCATGACTTGTGATAGATCATATGAAGTATGATAAACATGCTTGCTCTAAATTGAGAGGTTTATTACAGATTTTCTTTTATTTTCTTCACAGACTAAAATCCCTGTTTAATAATAAGTGCCACATAGTTACAAGCCATAAGAAAGAAATAACTTTCCTAATGCTACCCCAGTTTTTACATACTGATTTTAATGACACATTAATTTTAACAGATTATTTATTTTAAAGCAACAAAAATCCTCAAACTAAACACAATTAGCAGAATTATCATTTTGTAGCTTAGATTTTCACTTAAAAAGTGTTATCACAAGCTAAAGTGTTTCATGATCAGATACTAAATATTAATAAATATTAAGACTGCATATATTTAGGGCCAGAATTTGGCCTTTCATATTTTGTAACTTTTACATTTTACCTTGCACTTTGATACTAGATTTTCTTAATTTACATTTCAAAATTCTTTGATATCATGCACATTAAACATTCAAGGGACATGAAAGACAACTGCTTCTTGGAATATACGCACACTACAAATTCTGCTTGTTTACTGTGGAGTAGGGTAGGGTAGGGTAGGATAGAATAGAATAGGATAGGATAGGATAGGATAGGATAGGATAGGATAGAATCTGGAAGGGACCTTCTAGTCCAGCCCACTGCTCAAGCAGGAGAACCTATACCATTTCAGATAAGTGACTGTCTAATCTCTTCTTAAAAATCTCCAGTGATGGAGCGCCCATGATTTCTGAAGGCAAGCTGTTCCACTGGTTAATTGTTCTCACTGTTAGGAAGTTTCTCTTTCATTCCAGGTTGCTTCTCTCTTAGATTAGTTTCCAAACATTGTTTCTTGTCCTGCTCTCTGGTGCTTTGGAGAATAATTTGATCTCCTCTTCTTGTGGAAGCCCCTCAAATACTGGAATACTACTATCATGTCTCCCCTATTTCTTTTCTTCAGACTACCCAAATCTAAGTCCTGCAGCCGTTCTTCATAAGTTTTAGTCTCCAGGCCTTTGTTGCTCTTCTCTGAACTTTTTCCAAAGTCTCAACACCTTTTTTGTATTATGGTGACCAAAATTGGTTGCAGTATTCCAGGTATGATCTTACTAGGATTTTATAAAGTGGTACTAATAATTTGCGTGACCTTGATTGTATGCCTCTGTTTATACAACCCAGGATTATATTAGCTTTTTTGGCTGCTGCTGTGCACTGATGGCTCATAGTCAAGTGATCATCCACTAGGACTCCAAGATCCCTCTCACAGTTGCTGTTTTTGAGCCAAGTCTCACCTAATCTGTACTTGTACCTTTGATTTTTCCTGCCTAAATGTAAAACTTTATTTTGTTGGATAGGGCCCATTGTTCAAGTTTGTCAAGATCTTTTTGGATTCTGAGCTTTCTTCTGGGATGTTCGCTATTCCTGCCAGTTTAGTGTCATCTGCAAATTTGATGAGTTCCCCTTCTATTTCCTTATCTACTTGAATACTAATTTAGGATTCATTTGTCTAATGCAGTAACTCCCAAACCATAGGCCGTAAGAGAAGATAATTGCTATGAAAAACAAATTCATTAAATGATCCTTGGATTTACAAAATTTTCATCTCTAGAGGAGATGCTAGTCTTTCCTCTCAGGGAACATGCTTGTTTGCAATCTGGAATAAATTTCTAAAAGGCAATGGTTGACTGGGGAATTCTGGGAATTGAAGTCCATATATCTTGCAACTGCCAAAGTGGAGAAACACTCCACTAAATGGAGAAATGAGTAAACATGGCTATAATCAGAGAAAATCTATAATCACCTCTGTGCCTCCAGTTCCCATCAAGGTCAGATAAAATGATAGTCATCAGGCTTAATGGGAGTAAAAGTTCAACTATTCTGATGGGTTACAGTTGTATAACAGCTAAAAGCCATCTCCTGTTTAAATTCACAAGAAAAGATAGTTACAATTATACAAAGATACACCAGTCTCGAGGAAAAAATTAAGACTATCAGCCAGTGTAAATTCTTTGAGAGTAAGCCCACTTTATTTACTGAGATCTTGTTCTGAATAAATAGAAACAGGTAGCACTCCACAAGATTATGATAATGGTTGCAACACCAATGACTGACAGATGACAGATTTAGAAAGGAAACACTTTATTAAATTTCATGCCTGAAGTACTAGTTTCTATCCTTTGCCACCTCCTGTGGATGACATGTGAGAATTGTTGGGGCCAATTCTTCACCCTGGGTTGAGTGGATGATCAAGGCTAGGTCTACATCTGGTCCCTAGTCTGATTTTTTAAAAGCTTTCTGCATGCAGGTGGAAAGAAAGAAATTTTAGAAAAGAAAACAGATGGTGTCATAAGAAGAAAAAATGGGTGTGCCTGTTCCCTTTTGATTCAGACTGCACCCATTGCTTGCTTCACATTCCCGAAATAGCATGCAGTCTCAAATATTATTTCCAGGGGAATGTTCCAAATAGACAAAAAAAAAAAAAGTTCCCCAGCTCATCTGTAGCATATTTTCACTATGTGTGTGTGCATCACTTTCTTTACTTATTGCCATTTTAAGCCTGTTTTTCGCTAAACATAATCTCAAAACTGCAGGAAAAAACATGAACCAATAATGCACTCCAAAACTGGAAAGTTACAAGAAAACAAATGATAAAATGTATTTTTATATTATGTTGTACTTAGTTTTAATTTTATGATTGTTCACTAGCCAGAGTCACTTGTTTGAGATAGGCAGTTATAGAAACTGAATAAAATAAAAATAAACATTTTTATTGTACGTGGCCCAGAGTCACATTCTGTGGGATGGATGACTATATAATGATGATAAGTAAAGCTATTCAAAACATTAAATGTTAGCATCTTAAAATTGGAGTGTGACAATCACAAGAGAAAGGCACAGCTCTATTGATTTTAGTTTGAGCTTGAGGGAACAAATAGGCTGTGTTCAGATTGAAAACTCAGCTGATTCATTGAACAATATGATTGGGATGCCCTTTTTTCAGCCTCCATCCCTTGAATGCCCTGTAACAAATACCCTGCTAAATCCAAACACAAATTCTGTTAAATGCATACACAGACTTTCATCTTCCCCATGCAAGATAAGCGTAAGGAATAAGGCACTCCACAAAATATTCAAGGTCCAAACTATATGGGGCTTTATGTATTAAGACAGGCCTACCAAATTTGGCCCAATAGCTCATTTACAATATCACTCAGAATTCCATTGTTAGATGGGAGACCATGTAAAGTTGATAGATAAATAAAATAGATGTAATATGTTGATAGCAGCTTGTTTCTTCATTAATTTTCCCATGCCTTCCCAGGCAGTAACTTCTAAACTGAATTCAAAGGACTCCTTTTTGTGTGCTAGTCATGCCATTTTGTGCACTGGTCATTGGAATTAGTGCTATGAACTTAAACTTTATAATAAGTTCCACACTTAGCAACTATCAAAACCTTCATGAAAATCAAAATCTGGAGCATTCATTTTTTTATTGTTTAGAACAAACAAGTTCTCTCTTACAATAAGATTAATGAGCAGTTGACCTACCTTAAATATAAAAAAAAGTACAGTAAACATGCTAACTTACCAGCTCCAAAAATCCTCTCACAACTTGTCTCTGTTTCAGGTTGGTTTCTCCATCCAGATTAGCAGTTTCTATATGACACAAGCCATCAGGATCACTTGAAGAAAGCAGCAATATATCTGCAGGTATGATTTCATTGCAGCGAAGCTGGATGAAGTCTCCAACTTTTACTTTTTTCCAGTATCTTGTGATGTATTTCCTTTCGTTTCTGTAAGAAATATTTAGGATAAAAACATGACAGCAGTTCTAAGAAATATAATAGCAGGATAACTTAATATATGTTTGCAGTAATTAATTTCCTGACACCTATTGGTTCACAAAAAATCTTGCATTCAAGGAATAAAGTTCTCAGAAGAAACTATTCACCAACAGCTGTGAGAAACAGCTATTATTATCCCAGCATTAAAATTTAACAATTACTATGTAGATGACTTGCAAAGGGTGAGAGGCAAAGAATACAAAGGTTACATCTATGAGAAGGAAACCTACGTCATATGCTGCCCATATATCTTATTTGCAGAAAAGAGTATGTTCAAAATGTTGATTATTACTTTTATTATCACTACATGACACAAGGTTAGGTAATACGTAGGACCATTTTTTCTTGAGGGATCTGTCTGTCCTCTAGGTCAGATAGGGTGGGTATGCTGCAGGTCCCCCCCTTAAATGTTGCCACCTGCTGGGAACTTTGAAGTATGCCTTCTTAGTGGCTACTCCAGCCTTTTGGAATAGCTTACCACCTGAGATCTTTTTAGTCTTATGAAAGGCTCTTGCCCCAGCCATTGGAGTAGCATGGGAGTGATCTGGAATGTTGTTTGGTTCAGTGCCTGTGAGGAAGAGTAGTTTTATTTCTATCCTTTTTATGGATTATTGTGAGCAATCTAGAGTCATTATATGAGGTAGGAAGTCTGTTATTAAATAAATACATAAATTAATAGAAGGTTATATAGCCTGGGAGGGAAGAAGAAATAGAAAGGAAGAATGGCAGTAAACGTGGGGGAAAAAATCCAGATTCTTGTGGATTAGTCTACTTCATCACATGCATGAGTATTATCCCACATTACCGAATATGGAAGGTGATGTATGAATGATTGTTAATAATGAAAGAAGATATAGAATATAGACTAATGACAATTACATTAACCTAAATAATCTTGTCAGGACAATCTGAAGCAAATCACAGTTATCAAACCGGAAGAAAGAAATTAAGACTAGGCACAAAACCTGTGTTTGCATAACAGTGAACTATAAACTCATTTTAGCTTATCAAGTACTGAAAATCCAGTCATTTTGTAAATTTAATTTTGTATGAACTCAGAAAAAATACATGTGTGATTCAATACTCCTTAGTTATTGACAATAAAATGGGGAGCACAACCACTAAATCTCAAGTAGAGTTGTTCTTTTTTGCTTTACTCAACAAAGCAGGAAACACTTTTTAAAATTCTAATAGCTTTAATTACAGTGCTTGTTTGTTGAAATAGTAACTGAAAACAAGTATACAAAACAGTTGATTACTATATTGATAGTAAATAAATTACTTATTTTATTTATATATCAAATTTAGAAATGGCCATCTCCCTCACAGAGCAACTCTGGTATTGAAAGCAAATAAAGAGAGCCACTTTGGTGTAATGGTTAAGGTGCTGGACTAGAACCCAGGAGACTATAAGTTCTAGTCTAACTTTAGACATGAAAGCTGGCTGGGTGCCTTTGGACCAGTCACTCTCAGCCCAATCCCTAGGGTTATTCTTGTGGGGAAAAATGGGAGGAGGAAGAAACATTATGTACGTTCACCTTCTTGAATTACTTATAAAATAATAAAGGTAGGATAAAAATCAATCAATCAAACAAACAAAAAAATAAATAAACATTCATTCTTCATATTTAGAAGAAATCAACAACTGGACTGTGCCAATCCAGAATGACAATATTTTTTTACTGTGAGATTGAAGTTACATGTCTTATAAAATGGGCAGTATATACCAATTCCTAGACCACCCATTTAATCAACTGACATTCCCCTCACTTTTTCAATGAGTGGTTCAAGGCTGCTCAAAGTTGCCTTAAATTTGATAAATAAATAAATGATGGATCAATCCAACTCTGAAAGATTCCAAAGTCTTTTTTGATTCCTTTTGCATTCAAATAACAACAGACTAAACTGGGTTGAAAAATTAAAATATTGTTGATATATTTTTGGTTTGGACAAGCTCTGTGTTTCTTATATATTTCTAAGTTAAAACATTCCTCTATTAAAGAAATTAAATCATTATCTGAATTGGGAAATACATAATGAAAAAAGTGTGGATATATAAGTGAAGTGTTTTTGCAGTGACTGAAATACTAAAGATTACAAGCCAGGATGAATATTAATCTCTGTGGGGAAAAATTCACTAAAGTTAGGTTATACAATAATGCAATTTCATTTTAACCTCATCCATCATATTTTCTTAAAACACAACTAAGATTCAAGAAGCCACTTTTGTCTCAGAAAAGAAATTTCTGATGTTAGCATTGATTCTTGGACAACAAGAGGAGGCAGCAGAGTCCCAGGATATATAGAATATATCTGTTCACATTTATGTGGAAGTATATAGTTTATTTATGAATCAGTTATGAAGCATGACAAAATAAGTTCCAGCAATTGTTTCAAGTCTTTTTCCCAATAACAAACAGAAGTCACACATTTCAGACTTAGGCATATTCCGCTATTCTCAATGAAAAGAACAGAAAAGAAAAGAAAAAGAAATGAAAGAAAAAAGGGAAAGGAAGGGAAGGGGGAAAAGAAAGAGGATAGAATATGACACTGAGAATAGGATTTGATTTGTTTGGAATTGCAGCTTTCAATCTATCATTATCATAGTCTAATGATGATGATAATTTTAGCCTTTACAACTGGATTTGATATATTTAAGAAATAGCTGAATCTCAGAAACAGAAAAAGTGGCTAGATAAGATTTCAATCAGTCATATTTACAAAAGCTGTTGTGCAACAGCAGAATTGTGCAAAAACAGGGAAAGCCTCTAATGTTATTAAGAGATATATATACATGATTACTTTATGCAGAATTTATTCATGTGGGGCAAATCTGAATTAGTTTAAATATTCAATAAAGTATTTGTAATATTTGAAGAATAACGTACACCACTCAGCTTTAACTTACTGCCTATATATTTTGCATATAATATTTTTCTATTTCACTTATATTTTGAATCTGTCTCTTGCCATACAATGAATAAATGGAACCTTATTCCATAGATAGAAGCTTTCTTGTACTAGAACATTTTCTGTTGTTTCTGCTTTAATATTTGAATATGGCTGTCAATTGTTATCATAACAATCTTCCAAACTGTTCTCATCTGAAGTGTTTCAGAACAACACCACATATCAGCAAGATTGTCAGTGACAGATTATTATCACATGTAAGTCATGATGGACACAATTACTGCCAATAGTTTGACCTTTAGGCTGATCCAACATAGCTAGGATCAGAGAAATTTAGACCAAAGCTCTAACAATTGTGCCATACATTTTTTTTCTTCAAAAAGAGAAGCAAGGTTCTGTGGTCAACTTTCTTATGAAAGGAAGAGACCTAGGAGAACAGAATTTTCCTGAGAGTTATTTTAAAGTTCTAGCATAAAATAGTTGCATTCCTACTCTTTCTTCAACAACTTTGAATTAATATCATTTCTTGTAAGGACAATGTGGAAATAGTTCTGAATATGAAATAGAAGTGATTGAGCTAAAATTGTCAAAAATGCCCTTGGGCATAAATCATAACGCTAGAGTCACCATGGGCATTCTGCTAAAAATGCAGACAAAGACCTGTTATGGAAAAATGATATTCTTAGGGTTTTTTTTGTCCCCTTCAAATTTGCTAAGTAATTCATTTCTTCTATAGAACCTTTGCACTTTTGTACTTCAAGAGTGTTAATGCGCTATCAACTATCATTCCGTTTACAGTGCCTTGGATGCCTAGGACATATTTTTCTCTTGGATGAAATAGGAAATACCTTTTAGTCATAAGATTACAAAAATATGTTTGCTCTAGTTTTTTTACTAGCCAAGATCACCTTTTTCCCCCAGAAGTTAGGACATGGCGGAATAAATAAAAATTATGACTATGTTCTTGTCCTTCATAGTCAGGGGAAAACTTTTTCTTCTTCTTCTTGTGCCATATCCGTTATCGGACGTTGGCGATCATGTTGGTGATCCTGTTTTTATCAGCAGCCGCACGAAAAAGTGCTGCTGAGTTTTTTCCAAACCAGTCCCTTAGATTTTGAAGCCACAATGTTCTTCTTCTGCCTGGACCTTGTTTGCCTTCAATCTTTCCCTGGAGGATTAAATGGAGTATGCCATATTTTTCTGGGTGTCGCATCACATGTCCAAAATATTCTAATTTTTGTTTTTTAATTGTTTTGATGATTTCCCTTGGCTTTCCCAGGCAGCTTATCACCTCCTCATTTCTGATCTTGTCAACCCAGCTTATACGTAATAGCCACCTGTAAATCCACATTTCAAATGCTTCTAGTCTCTTCAGGTGGCCTTCTGTCAGAGACCAACTCTCTACTCCATAGAGCAGGATAGAAAAAATATAGCATCTGACAAGCCTGATTTTCAATCTTAGGCTTATGTCATGACTGCAGAAGACCTTTTTCATTTTGAAGAATGCTTGTTTGAGCTTTTTCTATCCTTATCTTTACTTCAACGGTCATGTCCCAGCTTTCATGTAAATTGGAACTGAGGTGTGTGATCTTTTCAACTTTTTCTAGTGGTATTCCTTCTGAATTTATTGGTGGTAAATTAATGGGTTGTTTGCTGATGACCATGATCTTGGTTTTTGAGGTGTTAAGCTTCAAGCCGTATTTTTCAGATATTTCTGTGACTCTGTTGTTGAGGAGCTGAAGGTCTTCATGCTTACTGGCAAGCAGAACTGTATCATCAGCATATCTTAAGTTGTTGATCCAAACACCGTTTACTTTGCCAGCATCGATGTTCTCCAGTGCCTCGTTGAAGATTGACTCAGAGTAGATATTGAACAACAGTGGAGAAAGAAAACATCCCTATCTGACCCCTCTTCTTATTTCTGCATCAGCTGAGTATTTTTGGCCTAGTCTCACATTTGCTACCTGATGCCAATACAGATTCTTTATTATTTGGATGTCTTTGTCATCTAGTCCCCCTTGTTTCAGGATTTCTAATAATTTGCTGTGTCTTATTTTATCAAAAGCTTTTTCGAAATCAATGTAGCACATGTAAACACTGTGACTGACATCTCTACAACGCTGTACAAGAACCTGAATGCTGAACAGCGCATCTCGTGTACCAAGATTGTTTCTGAAACCAAATTGTGTGTTACCTAGATGCTCTTCAATTTTGTTGTATATTCTTGTGTGAATTATTCTCAGGAATATTTTCAGGGCATGACTCATTAAGCTTATTGTTCTGTATTTGGTACACTTCTTTGCATTTATTTTTTGGGGGATTGTCACAAAGGTTGATTTTAGCCAATCATTTGGTATCTTTCCTGTTTCATATATCTGATTGAAGAGCTGCAGTAAAAAAATCTTCCCATTGTCTTCCAGCAATTTTAAAATTTCTACTGGGATATCATCAGGTCCTGTGGCTTTTCTTGTTTTTGCTATTTTTATTGCATGTTCAACCTCTTCCATAGTGATATTTTGTCCAGTTGTTATACTTCCCATATCTATGTCATCCATAGTGTCCTCAAAAAGTTCTTCAGTATATTCCTTCCATCTTTTTAGTTTTTCATCCTCATCTAAGATAATTTTTCCCTCTTTGTCAACTAAGTTGTTGGTTTTCTTTTTGTAGAGGCCTGCTGCTTCTTTCACTTTTTTGTTTAAATTGAAATTATCATGTATACGTTCTGTCTCTTCTATTTCCTTGCATCTCTTTGCAAACCACTTTTCTTTTGCCAGTCGAATTTTTCTTCTAATTGTTTTCTGCAATTCATTGTATTTTTCTTTGTTTTCATTTTTATAAGATCTTCTTTCATCCATGAGATGAAGAATTTCCTCTGTCATCCACTGTTGTTTCTTGTGGTACCCCTCTCTCTGTTTCGAATTTTTTACTTCTACTATTGCATTTTTAAATATATCCCAGTTCGCATCTACATCATCATCATTCAGGTTGTTGGTTTCCCTTAAATGATTTTCTAGTTCTTCTTTAATCTTACCTCCATGTTTAATGATGAAGTCTCTGTCGATTCTTGGTTTAGCAGGATTCGGGTTTTTCATCCTTTTTAGTTTCAGCTGGACTTCTGCAAGTAGTAGATTATGATCAGATGGTACATCTCACCTGGGTATGTCTTTACTGATTTTACTGAGTTTCTAAATCTTTTGTTTATTGTAAGATAGTCAACTTGGTTCCTTACTACATTATTTCGTGTATCTGCTGGTGATCTCCAAGTGTAGAGGCGTCTTTTTGGCAACTTGAAGAAAATATTCGTCACACATTACCTATGTTCCTTGCAGAAGTCTACAAATCTGTCACGAGATGGTAAAGACCAAGGATTCGGTTTCAAAGGTTGATGTCCTCGTAGTGAAGGAAGAGGGTGAAAACGTAACTTCAGGGGGTACTCATAACACTATAGTAATGAAAAATCCCAAAAGTCATGTGACGAATATAGAAGCATCTTGAAGAGATTTAGGAGGAGTTCGCTGTCAGCTGTGGGAGCGTAAACTTGTATAACTTTCATATTTACTGGAGCACTATTTATTTGGATCATTATCACTCTATCGGATACAGGAATAAAGGACTTGATGCATTTATTTACACAATTGTTTACAATTATAGCTACTCCATTTCGATGGTGTTTGCTATTCTCACCAGAGTAGTAGATAATATAATTTCCTATTCTACACATTCCATTTTCAGGCCAGCACATTTCACTCACTCCCAATATAGAGATATTGTATTTGGACATTTCTTGGATAGAGTTGTATGTTTTCCCAGCTTTGTATAGGCTTCTGAGATTCCATGTACCAATTCGTAGTTTTGGGTTTATCATGCTTCTAGTGGATCGGGAGATTCTTAGCACCCCTGCCCCATTTAAGGGGCGCCTGTACTCGGGGCCATTGTTAGGTTTTGCCACCATTAACATGATTTTCCTGGGAAATATATAGTGTAGTAGTCTTCCCTTTGCTTTCTACACCACTGTGCACACGCTGTTCAAGTGGCTGCCACCACACCGTGTGCTGTTCTTCTGAATCCGTTCCAACCAATATGGTCTCCACCTTCAGTCGATACTGGGGAGCCAGCTGCCACTCACCAGGCCTGTTGGTCCACGGGAGGTATTTGATTCCCTTCAACCCACCATTACAGTATAAAAGCCATAATGGGTAGGCCCCCCCAATCCACCATCCGGGGACGCGCTCTGTGGGGGTTCCAGGCTCCCCTAAGAGAAGAACTTTTTACATAATGGGAATTTACCCTAATGCTAATTAATAAAACTATAAATATTTTATATACTGATATCCGCTTTCCTGAATTTTTAAATCCAGTCCATAACTCAAAACATGTTTACAAAATTATACCAAAAAGAAATAATACTTAAACATGTTTAGTTAGGCAATAAAAATAACAGAAAGAAAAACAGTATAAAAGATGCATTTTTAAAAGAACCACACATGTAAGTACCTAAACACATGCATACAAATGAACTTTAAAATGGAAATGAAATGGAACAAAATTATGGTTAAGAAAAATAAGAAAATTCAAATATATTCTAGAAAGAGAAAAAGTTAGTTAAAAACAATTCCCACAGGAAACTCTTAAAGCATTCTGTCACACTCGTTATTTTGCAATATGGATAAATATATATGCATACATAATATGCTTTCAGCAGGAAGATCAAGACCTGCCTTGAATCTTTAGTTGTTTTCAATATTGCAAGCATTGGGGACATTCTATATACAACATGATTCACATCTGAGAGGTGGGCTAAATGAGCAATGTGACAGCACATCAAACACCGTCATTGTTATACTTGTGCCATTTTTATACTTTTATTCATTGTATGATGAGAGAGAGATTCAAAATATAAGTGAAATAGAAAAATATTATATGCAAGTATACTTTATACTTTCATGTTGGGATGAAACTCTAAAAGGGCAGGGTTGCATTGTGACATTTCTGCACACTATTTACTTTTCCTTTTGCTATGGTTAGCTACAGATGCCTACATAACTACTCTGTGTTAACTTTCTATATTCCTACAACAACAAAGCAACAAAACAACAAAGATGATTAGGGGACTGGAGGCCAAAGCATATAAGGAAAGGTTGCTGGAATTGGGTATGTCTAGTTTAATGAAGAGAAGGATGAGGGGGAACATGATAGCAGTATTCCAATATCTCAGGAGTTGCCACAAAGAAGAGGGAGTCAAGCTATTTCCAAAGCGCCTGAAGGCAGGACAAGAAGCAACGGGTGGAAACTAATCAAGGAGAGAAGCAACCTAGAACTAAGGAGAAACTTCCTGACAATTAGAACAATTAACCAGTGGAACAACCTGCCTCCAAAAGTGGTGAATGCTCCAACACTGGAAGTTTTTAAGAAGAGACTGGACAGCCATTTGTCTGAATTGGTATAGGGTTTCCTGTCTGAGCAGGGGGTTGGACTAGATGACCTCCAAGGTCACTTCCAACTTTATTATTATTATTATTATTATTATTATTATTATTATTATTATTATTATTATTATTGTTGTTGTTGTTGTTGTTGTTGTTGTTGTTGTTATTATTATTATTATTATTATTACATGCTTAATAGCTGTCCTGATCAGCCAGCTTTTACAACAGAAAGATGTTTACCCAAAATGAAAATGATACAGATTTTAAATGGCAATATGTCAAAGCATTGCATTTCATTGGGAATTTTTTAAAAAACAATTTGTTACCTCCTGTTCACATTCTTGTGGCACTAAACATAAAG